GGTAGAAGGAGGAAACTGAAGGAAGCGAGTGAGCATAGAAGTAAGTGGAGGAGAACATTCATAGAGGGGAGAAGAATGATCATGAAAATAGTTGTAAAACAGCATTACATTGTTTAATACCATGAAATGAAGCAGCACAGCACCCAAAGTAAAGAAAGGACACAATTTTCCAATTGTTATCAACAAATAAAGCAAGTATAAATAGAGTTCTAGCACCTTAAGTGTATGTGTAGTCAAAACTTATTTCATTTTTGATAAAATAGAGAAGGGTTAAAACCACTCCCATGTTATTTTTTTCTGTCTTTCTGTGCATCATTACTGTAGAATTTCTATGGTCAGATGGGAAAAGTGCAACAGATTCCTTAATCTACGCATAACTGTGCGGATGACGGAATCTCCCACTGGGCCAAGCTTCAGTATCTTGCTAGTCGGCCCCGCTGGCTCTCAAAATATCTGAACAATCTGATTGGATGCAGTCATTGTTCATGTATTTTGAGAGCCAGCGGGGCCGACTAGCAAGATACTGAAGCTTGGCACAGTGGGAGATTCCTCCATCCACACAGTTTAGCGTAGATGGAGGAATCTGTTGCACTTTTTCCATCTGACCATAGAAAATCTGCAGATAATCTATAGGTGAGTAGGTGTGTATGTGACTGGAGAATGATCAGAGAGAAAAGTGGGTATGAACGTGAGGAGAATCATCATAGTGGGCAGGAGAGGGGGCATTGGTAGAAGGAGGAAACTGAAGGAAGCGAGTGAGCATAGAAGTAAGTGGAGGAGAACATTCATAGAGGGGAGAAGAATGATCATGAAAATAGTTGTAAAACAGCATTACATTGTTTAATACCATGAAATGAAGCAGCACAGCACCCAAAGTAAAGAAAGGACACAATTTTCCAATTGTTATCAACAAATAAAGCAAGTATAAATAGAGTTCTAGCACCTTAAGTGTATGTGTAGTCAAAACTTATTTCATTTTTGATAAAATAGAGAAGGGTTAAAACCACTCCCATGTTATTTTTTTCTGTCTTTCTGTGCATCATTACTGTAGAATTTCTATGGTCAGATGGGAAAAGTGCAACAGATTCCTTAATCTACGCATAACTGTGCGGATGACGGAATCTCCCACTGGGCCAAGCTTCAGTATCTTGCTAGTCGGCCCCGCTGGCTCTCAAAATATCTGAACAATCTGATTGGATGCAGTCATTGTTCATGTATTTTGAGAGCCAGCGGGGCCGACTAGCAAGATACTGAAGCTTGGCACAGTGGGAGATTCCTCCATCCACACAGTTTAGCGTAGATGGAGGAATCTGTTGCACTTTTTCCATCTGACCATAGAAAATCTGCAGATAATCTATAGGTGTATGGCCAGCTTTAGACAGTTGCCACTGGAACAGGTGTCTCCATTTGAATATTTCTCCTTGCCTCTTGTTATGGGGATATCACAAAAAGTTTAAATTCTCTTGGTGGCAATGGTTGACAGTAAAAACAGAGGGGTGAATCTGCCCAATGAGAACACAGACATTCATAAAAAATCCCTTCCCCACTCTATCCGAAACAATGTAATTTATATAATATTTTTGCTAGGTAATTTTTTCAACGCATGTAACAAAATGAATTAAATAAACAATTCTATGTAAAAGATCAGACATTTGAACAGATTTCCGATCGCAATTGGGATCAAATAAAACAACAAACATGTAGTTGGGGCACCAGGAGCAATACGATCTGACAAGGGATTAAAAAGTCTGATCAAATCAAACTCAGTATGTGTGTGCCCAGCATGACAAGTCTGTTAGCAAAGAACAAGAGACATATGCATAAATATATTCGCACAATATAATAGCAAGTTACCATATATTGTACGAATATCCAGAGACGCCATGAGGGGAATTTATCAAAATTGGAGTAGACAAAATCTGCTGCAGCTGGGCATGGCAACCAATCAGCCTCTCTCTTTAATTTTGAAATCTTAACTGAGCAAACTGAAAGGAGAAGCTGATGTGTCCACAGAAGCATTGTAAACAAGATACATTAAACAACAAAATTATTTATTGTAGTGACTGCAATAATAATCTCCAGCATCAATACCATCTCTATGCTGATGACACTCAAATCTATCTTTCTACTCCACAACTCTCCCTCTCAGTGTCCTTGCGTGTCACTAATCTACTAACTGACATATCCGTCTGGATGTCACAACACTTCTTAAAACTCAACCTTTAAAAAACTGAGCTCATGATATTTCCTCCCGCCCGTGCATCTTCCCCCAACTTTTCCCTTCAGGCTGTTAACACAACTATCCACCCCTCCTCCCATGCCAAGGTCCTAGGTGTCATCCTTGACTCGGACCTCACCTTTCTTCCCCACATCCAATCGCTATCCAAATCCTGCTGCCTTCACCTTCGTAACATCTCCAAAATACGCCCCTTCCTCACCAGAGAAACCGCAAAATTACTCATCCATTCACTTATTATATCCCGTCTTGACTATTGTAACTCCCTCCTCATTGGCCTTCCACTACACAGGATATCCCCCCTTCAGTCTATCATGAATGCAGTTGCTAGACTCATCCACCTAACCAACCGCTCAGTGTCTACAACCCCCCTCTGTCAATCCCTCCACTGGCTTCCACTCGCCCAGAGAATAAAATTCAAAATATTAACAACCGCTTACAAAGCCATCCACAACTCTGGCCCCAGCTATATCTCAGACCTTGTCTCAAAATATCACCCTAACCGCTCCTCTCCGCTCTTCTAAAGACCTCCTGCTTTCCAGCTCCCTTGTCCACTCCTCTCATACTCGCCTCCAAGACTTCACTAGAGTCTCTCCCATCCTTTGGAACCCTCTACCCCAACCTGTCCGTCTATCTCCCACACTGACTGCCTTTAGGCGATCCCTTAAGACTAATCTCTTCAGGGAAGCTTATCCCACCGCAACCTAACCCCTGAAATATCAATTTCTTAAAGAATTCATCCCCACACAGCCACCTCCTCATGCCCCTATCACTTGCCCCTCCCTTTTAGATTGTAAGCCCTCACGGGCAGGGCCCTCCTTACCATCTTGTCTTGAATTGTATTGTGATTGTAATGTCTTCCTTATATTGTGAAGCGCTGCGCAAACTGTTGGTGCTATATAAATCCTGTATAATGATAATAATAATTGGTGACTGTGACCGTAATAATGACCTCCAGAATTGGTGTCAGTGACTGCAACAAAAACCCCCAGCATTGGTTCCAGTGACTGCAATAATAACCCTATAACCCCCAGCATTGGTGTCAGTGATTGTAATAATAACCCCCAGCATTGGTGTCAATGATTGTAATAATAACCTGCAGCATTGTTGTCAGTGCTGTTAATCCCCTTGCCTCCTGCGTTGGTGCTCAATAGTAGTACTATTTAACCCTCCCAATTGGTGATCATTGGCAGTGTTTTTATCTCCCCCAACTGGTGGACAGGTCAGTGGTAGTGAAATTTAACCCCCAGCATTGGTGCTCAGTGCCGTGGCAGCAAAAATGTAACACCCCCCAATGGAGGATAGCATAGGGCAGTGAAATGTAACCCTCCAGCATTGAAAGTGAACTGTGGGCTAAGTGTTTCTTCCCATAGTTCTCTTAAGGGTCACGAGAGGACATATACTAACCTTCTCCCAAAGCTCAGTATATCGCGAGCTACAGCTCGCGGTATACTGAGACCGCCGCAGCCGGGACGGATCCCAATATTACTGTCGAGATCCACCCAGCTGCGTGAGTGACAGCTGGCTCTGCCTATCTAGAGGCAGAGCCAGCTGTACCCGCCCCCTCTCCCGTCCGTTCCTCCAGTCAGCGATGGAGAGGGGAGGAGGGAATCCCTGCAGGGAGAGGTGACTGACAGTCATGGCTCTCTGCAGGGAGATGATCGAGAGGTGAGCGAGTTACGCTATGTGTTCGCTCACTTCCCAATCTATTGAGGTGACATGTGACAGTTTAATTGTCACACGTCGGCTTAAACTATGAGGATGAGTTATTTTCACTCACCTCATAGTTCTCCTTTAAAGATCAGTGCAGTGACAGTAAATATTAACTCCAAGCATACAGCATATATAGGGGGATTTATAAAAACTGGAGCTGGCAGAATCTGGAGCAGTTGCCCATAGCAACCAATCAGCTTCTACCTTTCATTTTTAAAGCTTCACTAAACAAACTGAAGAGAGAAGCTGAATGGTTGCTATGGACAACTCAAGTCTGTATAAATCCCCTTATAGATGTTGTACGCAAGTATACAGCTGGGGGTCTCAAATTGGATCCTCCCGGATTAACAATCTGCGGTGTCATTATTTCTAAAGATTAGTAGCAAGTTACATTCTGTGCATTTACAAACACATCCAGCTATTTTGAAACAATCTACAGAGCTGGTTAGAACTAGCTCCTGTGGAATGCATATATTTTCCTATACGTGGGCTATAAAACAAATTCCTAAACGTCACGCAATGAAAGCAGTGTTTACTGTGCATGTGCAGTTTCCTCTTGCAGTTTGGGTCCTAGCAAAGATGGTGTCACGCATACAGGAGACAAAGAGGCAAACAGTGCCTTCAGCCTCTGTGAACACAGCAAGCAGCAGACCTCCAGTGCTCCTCCCACTGTGTGAGCAAAATGTGGAATTCCCCATAGTGTGTGACACACACACAGGAACTTCCTATCAGTCATCTGGGAGGGTGAGAGTGTCTCTGCGCACACACAGAATTTTTAAAGCTATTTTTAGTAAAAATGTGCTATTTCTAGTGATAAAGGCAGCCCTATTGTGGCCGCAAAAGCCAAATAGCCAGTCCTCCCAGTTCTAGCCTGTTCAAGGGAGAGCAGACTAAGGTTAGCCTTCTTTATAAGCAGCACACCCAGGTGCGATTTAAAGGGTGGTCGTGTGACCCTGATTGACGTTAAACTAGCCCATAGGCATAGTCACGTACTGGTAAGGTGATCCAGATACAAACACACGCATGGGGTGGAGATAAAAGGAAGAAGTGCAGAACATAGTATTCCACTTCAGAAAACAGAAGCAGCCACAGTCCATCTCTAACTATAATCTGAGAAGAAGAGGAAGTATGTGGAGGCAGGTGAGCTAAGCGACGCTGGACAGTAAGCAGTCTGGTCCTAAGAGCTAGCAATCCTGTACTGGAAAGATAAAAGTGACATTTCACAGGATCTTATTCCTATGTCCTCTCATTACAAAGTCTCTCGCATAATAGACAAGCTATTCTACCTAAAATGCTGATGGCAGTGGGCGAATATGGGGCTGCGCAGGATGATGAGAGCGTGGACGAGTTTGCTGTTCCGCAGGGATCCGAAAAAGAACTTCGAAGTCAGCATGCGCACATGGAAAGATTGTTCGGAGTCACTGTGAACATAATAGGGGTACTTATGCAGGATCAGTTACCCCTACAATCTACAGGACACCAGCAGATATGGGTTCAACTTACAGGAGAGAGAAGGAGCATAGTCAAAGCCAAGGTAAGGCGGTGGTGGAGTGATCTAGTTGCCCAGATATTTCATTAATGTTTAAATCTGTGATATACATAATAGAAATAGGGCCCGATCCAATGAAAACTGTTTTTCCTGGGTTTGGATAGCATGGGAAGAGTTAAAACCACTATTGGGTTTTTGTTGCTGCCTGTATCTCCACTGGTGATATTTCCTCTCACTTCCTAGGTGGTCGCCAGGACAGGCAGTGAGCATAATATTTCAGAATGGGGATCTCAACAGCAATATAACTTCTTTTTTTTTTTTTTTAGCTTAAAGGAGAACTATGAGGTGAGTGCTTTTCACTCACCTCATAGTTCTAGCCGACCTGTGACAGTCTCATTGTCACAGGTCGGCTAGAACTATGAGGTGAGTGAAAAGCACTCACCTCATAGTTCTCCTTTAAGGCCTCATTCACACTAGAAACGGCCGTACAGCTCCGTGCTCCGTGCACGGCCGCATCGGGCAGCTCCCGGGAAGGACAGGTGCTGCGTGTGATTAGTACGCAGCCCTTGTCCTTCTCTATGGGAATACGCGGCCGTACGCCGCCCTACGCTCACCTCAAGTGCAGGTGTGGGTGTCCCAGCTCGGACACAGACAGGATCCAACCTGTCAGCGTACGAGTACGGACAACCGCACGGACGTGCAGGGCGGATGAGCATAGGGCGGCGTACGGCAGCGTATTCCCATAGAGAATGGGAATACGCGGCCGTCCTTCCCGGGAGCTGACTGATACGGCCGTGCACGGAGCTGTACGTGCCGGCCGTTTCTAGTGTGAATGAGGCCTTAAGCTCACCGCACACATTACAGTCTCATTGTAGAAACTCCAATAGATCTACCTACAACCATCTAGTGCTTGGTCCTACCTGGTTGGAAGCTGATAGGTTAGATAGGCTCTTATATTACATAGTTTTGGTAAGTAAAATAAATTGTTTGTACAAAACTTCTATGGTCAGATTGTAATGTGTATGGTCACCCTTAGATAGAGGGTTATAATCCTTTTTTTTTTTGCCATTCTGTGTCCCACTGGGGGGATTTCCCTTCACTTGCTGTATAATAGCCACAACAGGAAGGGAGGGGAAATCCCTCAAAAGTAAAGGAAATCTCTGGTGGGCAGCCGGGTCACCAGAACTTGGGTCCCCATTGAAAGATTTCCCATTTATTCCTGTTTTGATGACAACCAAAAAATGTGGGATTTTCTTTCACTTTCAGTAATAAAGGTGACCAGGAAAAATAGAGAGGGCGAATCTCTGTAACGAGGACACAGACAGCAATTAAAACCTGATAGGTGTTCTAATCCCATCTAACACTGAAAAAAGTTTTGGCTTCAGCTGCATTTTAAAGCTCAAATCCTGGCATAATCACCTGTACAGATTAAAGGATAGGTTCACCTTTTACAAAAATGAAAGGAATGCATAATTAATAATATATTTTAAAAATATGCATTTCTTTAATATTTGCATTCCAGCCTGGAAAGCTTTGCAATCATTCGATCACAGCGCAAAGCTCAGGCTTCTGCACATTTTCAAACTGGCAGAGCTCGTACAGAGTTTCAGTTAAGGGTGCCCATACACCTTACAATTATCTGCAGATTTTCTGTGGTCAGATGGAAAAAGTGAAACAGATTGGCCCAGGTGGAGATTACTCCATCCACACAGTTTAGTGTAGATGGAGGAATCTGTTGCACCTCTTCCATCTGACCACAGAAAATCTGCAGATAATTGTAAGGTGTATGGCCAGCTTAAGAGAGATGGGGAAGGACAGCTGGACTTCAAACTGCATTAAATCACCTCATACAGCGTCCAGCAGTCCTCACTCTAGGTGGAGCTGCCCATATTCCTGCATCTACCTAGAGTGAATAGGGTTCCTCCGGAGTATGACTTTGGTGCGGTTGTGCATGGCTTGGCCCACACAGCCACGTCATCCATTCACAGATCCTTTGACAGCATCTGTGAATAGAGAAACTATAAGTTCCATCAGTGACCGTGGCAGAGGGACTTGTAGTTCTCCATTCATTCTTTCTCCTGTCCATGTTAGTGAATGTCCATACTTCAGTACAGACATGTGTGGGAGGAACAGTCTACATAGGCCAGAGGATTGCACCTATGATCCACTAATTGTGGTTGCAATGCTTTATTGGCTCCAATGCAAAAATAATAATAATAATGAATGCAAATTTTTTTCTTTTATGAAGAAGTCTGCATTTATAATTTTTTTCTTAAAGGTGGAATTTCTCGTTTACTGAATTAGCAGAAAATTGCTGTGTGTCCAACTCCAAATATCTGTCATACTATGCAGTTTACCAGATTCCTTGACCCCATAGAATAAGAGAACTAGCAACATAAGAACATTAGGTCCACACAGAGAACCATCAACAATCCCATTTGCCAGGCCAGCTCGTCTCGGTGCCCAGAACCAGACCAATTAGTAGAGACACGTCCACAGGTATCAGCTCATATGCCATTCTAGCCAGCTGTTCATTATATTTTATATCATTTGTAGCACTTATTGTCTATATTTGGTACAGGCCAAACTAGTCCAACCTTTCAAACCATTGCAGGGCCACAATTCCCTTCACTTCTCCAGGGAGGAAGGAGGGAGCATTTTCTTCCTGTTGTTTGGATCCTTCATGGGAGGAGATGCACATGAGGAAATTTTTGCATGTTACTGAAACCTGGAGCATAAGGATGAGTTAAAACAGACCTTGCTTGCATTGGGGAGTCCCCATCCTCCAAATAAAATTGTTTAAAGTGATACAGTCACCACAAGGTCACTTTCATTAAAAAAAATAGGTGTAATGGCATGAAAACAACAAAGGCACCCCAACCTAACCTTATGTTAGGTTGGGGCGCTTTTTTTTTTGTCTTTTAGTCAGTCCAAAGGTACCCTCCACCTGTGTCTTCAGAGCTGCCCACCTACAATTGTATTACTGTACTCGTGCCAGTCCTGAGAGCGCTGAACAATTTCAGTTGTTGTAATGGCATGAAGCTGGTTTTCTTTGACTCACTAGACCCCCTACATGCATTAGTCTTTATAGTTTGATGTAAGTACCCTCTATAAATAATATCATAAATGGAAAATGCAACCAAACAGAATACTCATATATTTAGCAAATACAAAACTGAATCTGAAAACCTTGGTTTCTTTCATGTAATGTAATAAAAGCTTTTGGTAAGTATGGTTTTAAAAAATAATTTACAATTATTGTGTTCTGTTCCTTTAGGATTATATTAAAGGACTGTGCACTCCAGAGCTATCTGAGAAATTTAAATACCCACGTGAGATGCATTGCATCTTTGTTGGAGAAGGAGGCCTCTTCCTTGACTGCTTAATTAGAGCTACTTCAGCATGTGTCAAACCTCAAAGTCATGGACTAATTACAATCTCTGGCATGGCAGAGGGAGTAGTAATGGCCCAAAGTCGGATTCAAGCTTTTTTAGATGTTGGTAAAACCATGCCAGAAGACCAAGAGGCCTCTATTAAAAGGAACTTCAAGGCTCTAGTAGAAGAACATAATGACCTCCATGCACTGGATCTTCTTATTCTTCCTACTTCCACCAAGCAACAGTTGCTAACTCTTGTAGAGGAGGACAAAGAGAGTAAACCGAAACAACCCACAAACCACCAGAGGGAGTGTGATAAAGCAATGAGCAGGCTTCCTCTCCGTCCTGCAACTATGGAATGTTCAAATCAGAGACTTGACAAGTCTGTAATATCACAGCCAGTAGAAATAACCAAGACAAGGCATGTTAAAGGAGTTTTGCGTGAGAGGGCTTCTGAACCTCGTGAATTAGCTAGGAACAATATATGGGATCGAAAAAAACAGCCGGAACTGTTTAGTGTACAGAAAAGTCCAGTGACAGGATTAGATGAAAGTGAGTCATCTGGTTCTTATCAGAATGAAACAACTGAAATGAATAAAAGGATGGAACCGCTAGTAAAAGATGATGAAGAATTCCAGCAAATATCTGGACTTCTGGACACTATTATGAGGTGGGACGATGGAGAACCAGGCTCTCATCACAATTTTTCTTTAGCAACACAAAAAGAGTTTAACATGCTTTTAGACTTTTTCAAGACAATGGGTTATCAGGAATCTGTTGTGCTAAAAGTGTTGTCAGAAAACGGGATCCAGGAGCCATCTCAGATTCTGGACAAAGTTAAATTGGAGCAATCTAGTCATAACCATAGCAACAGTGACCAAGTACAAAGGCCTTCTACGCTAAAAGGAATGGCGGCACATGCTGTTTCTGGTAATGATGATGACGACTACCTTTTAGAAGTAATGAAATCAGCTGCCAAAAATTGTGGCTATTCACCCAGTGAAATTGTGGACATCGGGGATGGTTCTGTGGCTGGATTACTAAGGAAACTCAATGAGAAAAATAATTCTGAAGATTGTATTTTTCCAAGTGTTCCTCAGAGAAAGGGTCAACAAGAGAACTATTTACCAAGGCCTGAGATAAACACTGTTAACCCGACTATGGGAATGGTTGATCACCTGAAGCACAAGCCAATGGGTAATAATCACCCAGTTGAGGATATCTTTCACGGTGGCCTCGAACCAGAATATGCGGAATATGCCTCGAACCAGAATATGTTAGAGGAACCCAAAGATACAACTGTTAACGAAGAATGCAATGTACCTGTTGTGACTGGAGCACAGAGGTTCAATGAAGCAATGCAGACTCCTTTCCAGCTTAACCTAAAATGTGAAAAAGGAAACGACCAACTGAGACATATCGTTATAGATGGAAGTAATGTGGCTATGATGTAAGTAATGTTTTCAATTCCAGTTCCGTTCTGCTGATAGCAGGTATCCATTGCCAGTATTGGCTGAATTGTTGAACCTATAATCGTAGATTTTTTTTTTTTCTTGCTTTTTGCATTATCCAAAAAAAAAGTCTGAAATTGTAGTTTGAATGGAATGATGAGAATCAAGTTATCTTAGGTCAGTAAAGTTATATAAAGTATTCAGTCTTGCATATAATATAAACAATGCACTAAGGCAGGGCTCAAAATTTCCACTCACCCCGTCGCAATTGGCGAGTGTAAATTGCGTGGGGAAATTCATCAGGGGGGAGCTACTGCCGCTTCTGCAAAGGTGATCGATCATTTAGTTCTTCCTTCTCTGGCCGGAGTGAAGGGAAGACAGCCAAACTGATTCAACTCCTCCTCAGCCGCTGCAGCTACAGAGTGGCCGAGGAGAAGAATCAGTTCTGCTGTCTTCCCTTCACACCGGCCACCCGCAGCTTCCTCCGCCCACCTCAGCTGTCATAGGATGGGAGGAAGACTGCAGCTGCTATTGGCCCGCTGGAAGTTTTTGCAGCGCGAGGCCTAAAGGGAGGCTGCAGCTGTGAACATGGAGGATACATCTCTGTACCGCCCACCACCAGCAGAGGAAAAGGGTACCTAAATCACATCAGCTACGTGCAAGTCCCTGTTGTTTCTGCCTTACACCGCTAACCTCTGCACTATGCATTACATTACTGACTTCTGTACTGTGCGTCATACTGTTGACCTCTGTAATGTGCGCTACATTACTGACCTCTGTACTGAGCGTCACATTACTGACTTCTGTACTGTGCATCACATTACTGACCTCTGTACTGTGCGTCACACTGCTCTGTACTGCTGACCTCTGTACTGTGAATCATACTGCTGACTTCTGTACTGTGTGTCACATTGCTGACCTCTGTACTCTGCGTCACAACGCTGTGCTCTGTATTCTGTGTTGTTACTGATCTCTGTACTCTGCTTCACACCGCTGGCCTCTGCACTCTGTGTTGTTACTGATCTCTGTAGTTTCCGTCACACCGATGACCTGGCGGAGTTAAGGCCGGGGCAGGGTGGTGAGTAACTCTTAAGGCCTGGCTAGTAGCTCAGGACTTGGAATTTGGAGTCCCCCACTAAGGTATATCTGACACATACTGGGTGATGAAAAAATTGCACTGGCATGCATAGTTGCATTGTCTGTGGTTAATTGGTCCCTTTATTAGAAGTGAATGGTGATGATCCTGGGCAAGCCAATGAGCAGCAGATGTTAATACTGTACAAGGTATGAAGTTACAGCTCATATGAGGTGCGTGTATGCCCAAAGCATGAGCCAAAACAATGTAGTGCAAAAATTAAAGTACAGTTGCAACAAAAAAATATGTTTCTTTAACAAGTGCCCAGTTCATACACACTAAAGTATTGACATATTCTTAACAAGCAGTAAAAGCACTTTAAAACAAGCACTACATTCACCTCTGTATGTGTAAGCTTTGAGGTGACAAGTTATTTTCAAAGTTCACAACACAGGTTATAAAATCTTAGCTCTTTCATTATGAGCTCTCAATGATATTAATGCTTTGCTATAAAGCGATGCAGTGCGATGCAGTGTCACCTTGCCGACAGACATGCATTGCACCTCAGTAACACACTGTGTGGTACACTGAAAAAAATGTTGGTGCAAGAATCCCACTATGTTAAGTGGTGCCCGTTCATATCAGAGCATTGTCACATGTTTTGGCCCCATAGACTTCAATGGGAGCACCGGACAAATGCGCATAACGCATATTTGTCACACCTAACAGCCATCTCCTTCTAGTTACTAGCTTTCCATTGGTTAAAAAAAATCTTGTCTGAAAATGCTTGAAAAAAGTGTGAAAGAAATGTGTAACAGCACCAAGAGAAGCCAGGGATGGCTATTTTTTAAAGCTCTTTACTAGAGTCCCCAGGCCTTTTTCTCCTTAAATTCCCTTGAGTCCCAGAGCATTTTTTATTTTTTTTGTCCCGTTATGGTGATTTATCCATTTCCAACATTATCTTTTGTAGTCTACCCTTGGTCTTTATTGGGAATAATTAGTTTTAAAAAATTACAAAAAAATGCTTTTTTCCCCCCAATGAGATGTTTATGTAATTTGCGCACCTCTATATATTTACCCCAAAATATAATTTTAAAAATCTGCTGATTACAATATCATATTAGTGTGACTTTTTTGTAACACAGCAGAATTCTAAAGCACAAAGAGAATTTATGAATTTTACTTAGTTTGACTGGGCACACATTTGGATGACGCTAGGTTATACACATGTATTGTATATTTATTTATTCTACACTTTTTTTTTATTTTACTTTTTTTTTTTTCTTCATTCAGCTCTTTAGCAGTAGGTCACTCCTAATAGTGATCTATTGCTGGCTGGTAGGGATGCTCAGATATCAAGTACATGTACAGATACTTTTCCAGCTCCAAGACTAGAGAAAAACTTAAAAGTTAGGAGGCAGCTGTGATTTTTTTTTAAGGAGCATATACACACTATATTGCCAATAGTATTGGGACGCCTGCCTTTACACACACACATGAACTTTAATGGCATCCCAGTCTTAGTCCGTAGGGTTCAACATTGAGTTGGTCCACCGTTTGCAGCTATAACAGCTTCAACTCTTCTGGGAAGGCGTCCACAAGGTTTAGGAGTGTGTCTATGGGAATGTTGGACCATTTGTGAGGTGTTGGATGAGAAGGCCGGGTTTGCAGTCTCCACTCTAATTCATCCCAAAGGTGTTCTATCGGGTTGAGGTCAGGACTCTGTGCAGGCCAGTCAAGTTCCTCCACCCCAAACTCGCTCATCCATGTCTTTATGGACCTTGCTTTGTGCACTGGTGCACAGTCATGTTGGAACAGGAAGGGGACATCCCCAAACTGTTCCCACAAAGTTGGGAGCATGAAATTGTCCAAAATGTCTTGGTATGCTGATGCCTTAAGAGTTCCCTTCACTGGAACTAAGGGACCAAGCCCAACCCCTGAAAACCAAGCCCACACCATAATCCCCCCTCCACCAAACTTTACACATGGCACAATGCAGTCAGACAAGTAACGTTCTCCTGGCAACCGCCAGACACGTCCAACGGATTGCCAGACAGGGAAGCGTGATTCGTCACTCCAGAGAACACGTCTCCACTTCTCTAGTCCAGTGGCGGCGTGCTTTACACCACTGCATCCAACACTTTGCATTGCACTTGGTGATATAAGGCTTGGATGCAGCTGCTCGGCAATGGAAATCCATTCCATGAAGCTCTCTACGGACTGTTGTTGTGCCAATCTGAAGGCCACACGAAGTTTGGAGGTCTGTAGCTATTGACTCTGCAGACAGTTGGCGACTTCTGTGCACTGTGCTCTTCAGCATGCGCTGACTCCGCTCTTTAATTTTACCTGGTCTACCACTATGCGGCTGAGTTGCTGTTGTTCCCAGTTGCTTCCACTTTGTTATAATACCGCTAACAGTTGACTGTGGAATATTTAGTAGCAAGAAAATTTTACGGAATCATCTCAGTCTCCTGACCTCAATATCATTGAGCCACTCTGGGGAGATCTCAAACGTGCAGTACATGCAAGACAGCCCAAGATTTACAGGACCTGGAGGCTTTTTGCCAGGAAGAATGGGCAGCTTTACCATCTGAGAAGATAAAGAGCCTCATCCACACATACCACAAAAGACTTCAAGCTGTCATTGATGTTAAAGGGGGCAACACACCGTATTAAGAACTGGGGTATGTAAACTTTTGATCAGGGTCATTTGGGTAGTTTCTGTTGTCATTATGATTGGAAAAGAGTAAACACAGTTGATTGATAATAAATGGCTTCAGCCGAACACTGCCCATGAGTGACAGAAAGGGTTTCGTGTTATTATTCATATTCTCTGAAAAATGGCCAGGAAATCATGAATTATGCCAGGGTATGGAAACTTATGAGCACAAGTGTGTGTGTGTGTATATATATATATTGCACAGACAGCCGTCGGCTCCAGGGCTAGTGCAGGCAGGGGCCTACAGAAACCGCTGAGATAAGTGAACTTCTTATAGCAATTTGAATGCTCGAGAATATGAAACTGTTTAGTTGCACTGGGAGTTAGAATCATGGTGGTATAAGAGCTTGTATAATTGCCTCCCACTTTAATTACTCTCTGAAGGCCAGCCAATAACTTTGTAACAGCTTAGTCTATTTAAATCCAAATGTGCCGTACTCCACAGATCTTCACCAAAGATTAAAATCTTTATTTGAAAAGCAGGTGCATACTGTTTGCTCTTCTCCACATAAATCTTAAACTCTAAAGCGTCCATTTGATTGGTTTATTATTATGGGGGTTATTCACTAAGCTGCTGAAGGCAGCCGAGTGAATAATCAAGCCGAAGTGAAGGGAGCCGAACGCTGGCTTCGGCTCCCTTCGGTTCAGCCGAATGTTCATGTTCGACTCTGCCGATCCAAAATCTGGATCAGCTGAGCCAAACCTCCGGGGCCGCTCACTCGTCCCCCGTCCCCCCTCCTTTCCTTCCCTGCCAGGCCTGTGCTTGGATTAAGGGTCTGGTTGGTAATTTTAGGGGGGCCCCACATTTTCTATCCTCATTTTTTGGGAGGGGAGTCCCCCCTTAAAATTCCTAACAGATCTAAAGGGTCTGGTATGGATCGGGAGGGGGACCACACGCCGGTTTATTTTGTTTACATTAGCAGGGGGGGGGCGGAATTCTCCCCGCTTTGGCTGTGACTTCGGCTCAGCCGAGCCGAAGCATATGCATTTGCCTAGGCTGTGTTTTTGGCTATTGTGAATAGCCCGTACAGCAGCAACCAGGCAACATCGTGTCAGAGTGCACTGCATATAGGTTTCACATTAAAATGGTCCACTTTTCATTGGTGGTTATCATGCAGTGCACCTTTGCATTTAACAGCTCACATGTAAATAAGACCAGTGGCAGTTTTTGGTCACATAATTCAGTTGTTTACATTTAGGGCTTC